GGCGTCACTGTCCTTTGATAACCCTGATTGTCCTGACCTGCAGCTGACCATGGGTGCAGTAATTGTGGAAGAAATTAGGGTGGCTGTAGAAGAAGCCACCGGATTCAGGTGTTCAGCTGGGATTTCACACAATAAGGTGTGTGTGCAACACGGCAGCCTGACTTCTTCTGAGCAGCAGAGTCAGAGTGTGCTGTTAGACACTCTCCTGTGCACTCTCCCACAGAAGATGAGCTGAGTGGGGAATGCAGCCATAGTAAGCATGCCTTCAGGGAAATTGTAAGACATCTGGGAAGGGGAGGAGATTTTTTTCCCCAGAGATGTGGCCTATGCAATCAGTACTCAGTTTACTGCCTGGATTCTGGGTGTACCCTAATGAGTTAGCTTACTAGGGAGAAAAGGGTTTTAAGTCTTCCAGGAGAGTTTTCTTCAGGAAAAATTCAGAGCTTAAAGTAGGAAACCTCCACCTTGAGTTTTAGACAACAAATTCAGGCAGGGAATGCTTTTTACTGACACAAATTCCTAGCAGCTTGGAGGAGGAAGAATACCAGCTTGGGGCACTGAGGTGAGTCGGGTTGCTTTTTCTCTTTCTGGTCAATCAGCCTGTACCCCTGTTGGCCACGCTTTGGGTGATGCTCAGGCAGCTGCTGAGAGCAGCCACAGGAGCACTTCGTGCATGACAGCAGCTGCAGAAGCAAACGGACTTTGATGCTGCAGCTATAGAGGGTTTCCTCCTGGGTGGAACTCAGGGTGGCTCACTGAGAGCACCCAGCACTTGTTTCCTTCTTTGCAAAAGGAGCTCATCTGTACAGTTAGGACTTTCAAAATGCAGGCTCAGACTTAAAAAAAAAAAAGGATAGAGACTAAATGGATGCTTTGGAACTTACAGAAGATAAATTTCATCTCAGACTGCTGCAGAAACAACTGGAACTATTACCAGCTGTACACAGGTCCTGGAGCTAGTTCTGCACTGGCTCACCTTGAAACTAGAAGAGACCGTGAGGCAGAAATGAGCTAGCTGAGGAAGATCACTGGTGTAAAAATTTCCACTGGAAGGGATGTTCAATGTGCCTTTTTTCTCTCTTTAATCAAGAATAACAGAGGACATCCCTGCTATCCGTAGCAGCTTCTCCCAACTTCCATTTTCTATGCCAACATTTTTATTATTTTTTTTTAAAGGGAGTAAGGAAATGGTGATGTACTGTGCTGTCCCTGAAGAACTGGATATCTAGACCAGCAAGCACAGTGCAGAGATTACCAGAACCTACATGTGGCTGTGCTGAACACGCTACAGTGTTTCCACAGCCAGCTCACCTTTGAAGGTACAAACCTTTTCTGCAAAGAGGAAACAAGTGCTGGGTGCTCTCAGTAAACCACCCTGAGTTCCACCCAGGAGGAAACCCTCTATAGCTGCAGCATCAAAGTCCGTTTGCTTCTGCAGCTGCTGTCATGCACGAAGTGCTCCTGTGGCTGCTCTCAGCAGCTGCCTGAGCATCACCCAAAGCGTGGCCAGCGGGTGTAAAGGCTGACTGACCAGAAAGAGGAAAAGCAACCCGACTCGCCTCAGTGCCCCAAGCTGGTATTCTTCTTCCTCCAAGTCACTGGGAATTTGTGTCAGTAAAAACCATTCCATGGCTTCAGCTCCTATTGCCTAAAACTCAAGGTGGAGGTTACCTGATTTTAAGCTTGTGTTTCTTCTAAAGAAAACTATTCTGGGGGATTTTTCTTCCTAGTGAGGTAACTCATTAGAGTACACCAGGAACCTAGCTGATAAAATAAGAGCAAATAACTGAATGAGCTATTTGGAAGCACCTGGAAGGATAACAGCGTGGTCTTATCAAGAACCACTGGTGCCAAACTAATTTATGTGCCCTCTTTGACAGCATAAGTGGCTTAATGTACAGGGGAAACTGCAGATGTGAGGTGCTGATCTTCAGGTTTCTATCGTACCTCACCCTGAGTTGCATAAGCCAACAATGACACCCTGGCAAAACAACATGACTGAGGTTATCTGAAGGGCATGCATCTAGCTGAAGAAAATCTTACTGTTTTCCATAATTATTTTGTTCAGTGAGTTGCACTCAGGATATTTAGAGTGGGATCCTGGGGGGGATCTGTCTGAGGTCCACTAAGAGTATTTCCACTGAAGCCTATAGAGGGGCAACAGCTGTAGGAATTCAGGTGATGCAAAGCACAGATAGGGCTCGGGGCCTGGGCTGTGAGAGTTCTGGGAGATGAAATTAAGAGCTGAAAATTCTGGGCTTGAAAAAGCCTAGAAACAGTCTGAAATCGCCAAGCAGTGCTTCTTATGCTCCTCACTGTTCTTGTGGTTTATAGGAAAAAAGCAGCCAGTAGGCTTTTGGCTAAGTCACAGTAAGTCAGGAAGTAGCCTGGAGTTACTGTGGACAAGCAGCAGGATGAGTCAGTAATATGAGTGCTCTTGTAGAAATGGCAAATCCTGTTTCAGCATGTACAGGTTAGAGAAGGTGTCAGAAAAGGTAAATTATTTCTCCCCATGAAGTCTCCTTGATTGGTTCAGCTTGCAGGACTTTACTTCATGAACGGTGTGGGTAAACTTGGAAGAGCCTCCAGTGAAACAACAGTAACAGCAATTAGACATCTGGAAAATGACTGGATATAAAAAGTTGAGGGAAAGGGATCTAATTTGTCTAGAAAGCGTGAGAATGTATGTGAGCCTGTAAAACAGGCTGTTAATAAAGATCATAGCTCAACAGGCAGGAAAGAAATTTTGCTTAGTTTTAGGATGTGTGGTAAAGCAGTGAAAGAGGAAATTATTAGACTTGTTCAAAAAACCCCCAAACACTCAGCTAAACTTATTTCAAGTGATCTGTGTATTCTTGATCCTGTGGTAGATTAGAGCAGGAGGGGAAGCTCCATAGCAAATAAGCTAGAGAACATCCCTTCCAGGCTAGCAAGTCTGTATTTTGCAGATTTCCTTTTGCAGTGTTAAGCTGCTGTGGACCTCACCAAGAGGAGATTAAAATAGTGACATTGAGAAAAAGCAAGACAAACATAGAAGATGAAAGAGCAAGACATAGTGAAAGAAATAGCCTGGGGAAGGATTCTGGGAATGCTCTGGAAGCTCTAACATGCTTGCCTGATGGAAAACTAAGCCAACCAGAACAGCTGATAGACTGGGATCCCCCAAGCTGCCTGGAGCAGGAGTCCAGCCCTTTGCAGAGCTAGAAGTCTGGAAGCAGCAGTGCTCTCAGAGCACCCAGCCAGTGCGTGCCAAGTCCCAAAGTGGGTACTGCCTGGGAGCCAGCAGCGGTGCAACCAGCACGTACGTCCTTCCTAGCAGCTATTCCAAAGGCAGCCCCTAGAGGTGATACAGCACAAGCCATTAAAGTCAGCGCAGAGTTTGCAGTAACAGGGTTTCCACCCTCTTCTGTGTTACAGACACTGGCAAAATTGGCCTGTGGGTTAAACAAGCCCAACCGCCAGACGCTCGTATCTTCGCGATTCGTCCCGCAGCTCTTCAGCCAACTGCCTGTCAGCAATATGTAAGTACTGGGAGCTGCCTGCTCCTCTGCAGCCTGGGGCTCAGGCTGAGCTGCTCTGTGGCAAAAGCATGTATTTCGAATGCTGGTGCTGTGCTTCTCAAGTCCAGGAAGACAGCCCTGATGGTCTTCACTGTCACAGTACTTGCTCCTCTTGGTTTGTCATCATTGCTTGTGTGAGCAGAATTTAAGTAACTTGGGGGTAGGAAACCTCCTGGCCAACTCAGAACAATTTAATGCTAACTGATAGCAGCCAGCAAAGGCTTTCGACTCCACGGTAACTGCTCATCAATGCTTGTAAGAAATGGAGAGGAGATCCTGACAGTGATCCCTCACAGCTGTGTGTGACAGTGGAGGAGCTGCAACCTGTCTGTGAAAGGACCACAATGGAAGAGACATGATGCTTCATTTCTGTTCTGTTTTTCTTTTTCTCTGCTGTAGCCGTAACCTGGGAGGCAAGCTGGGCACTGCCATCACAGACATCCTGGGAGTACAGTACATTGGGGAGCTGACACAGTTCAGTGAGACAGAGCTCCAGACTCATTTTGGAGACAAAACTGGGTAATAATAAACCACTCACCACAACTTAGCTCTTGGCAGGAACTGGGACTTCCTTTTGTTCTGCTGCGATTAGGAAGGTCGAAAGGTAAAACTTCAGTGACATCTTTCAGAAGCATTGGTCTGGCAGGCCCACAAACAGGTTTCCTGCCTTGTCTGCTCCCAGGCACCCTCCCCAGGATAACGTTTTGCCTGTCAGCCAACTCTGCCCTCCTCTACAGTGTGTAAGGATGGGGCCAAGCTGTGGAAGGGCTCCCTGCAGGCTGGGAAGCAGGCAGGCTTGACAGTCTCATTACAGAGGAAATTACAAGGCTGGACTGGAGCCTGGAGCAGCGGTTGGGGTGCCCTGCAGACTTGTGAACTGCAGCCACTTCAGGAGAAGAGGTGGAGGCGTTGCACTGACAGGCAGTTGTGGCCTGAAGGAAACCTGCCTCTTCAGCTGCGGCTGCAACTGCAGAGCTGGGGATGAGAGGCAGAGTCGCAGCTTGCAGAGTTGAAAGCATGGCTCAGCAGAAGGCTGCCTTGCTGCTCAGTGATGCTCGCTTGTCGGTGGCTGCCTTCACCTCATGCTTCCTCCGTGGCTTTCAGGTCCTGGCTCTATGACTTGTGTAGAGGAATTGAAGATGAACCTGTCAAAAACCGGTACCTGCCTCAGTCCATTGGCTGCAGCAAGAACTTTCCTGGGAGGACAGCCCTTGCCACGCAGAAGGAGGTAGGAGAAGCCTACATTTAGCACAAGGCTTGGCCTTTGCACTGGAGAAGATAAGATTGCTAAAAGCTGAGGCTATCTTGCAAAACTACTGCTTTTTCTGTGTCACAGTGTCCTGAAACTCAGCCTAGGGGCTGAGTGGGAGGAGGTGGTTTGGGCCCTAGAAATTAGGGAAATGCCCATTTGCCAGAAATGTGTTGATGATCTCCTGCACAAAGAGGTCCAGCCTTGTAATTTCCATGAGCAGAACTGTGGGCCTGTGCTGTTCTAAAAGTATTCATGGTGCCAAGTTTCCAGGGCTTGGTTGCTAGAAAGAAGGGAACTAGCCCAAAGAAAGAGGGGGGATGTACCTTACCTGTTAGCTGGGGAGAGAGTTGTAGGGAGGTGCAAAGAGAGATCCAGGGCAGAGGACCCAGATTACTTGGCAGAGTCTAGTAGTAATGCTGCAAGGACTTGTACAGTGTCTACAATGCCTTGGCCTCCAGTGTTGAATCCTCACTTGGGCAAATTTTCTCCACGAGTACTCCAGATACGGGACCTCGTGATAGTCTGTGTCCATGCCAGTCTAGTGCCTCTCCAGTGTTCCTGGTGTGTGTAGCCTTCACTCTGGTCTGGTGGCAGTGTTGTGAACAGAGGCCCAACCTGTCTGTTACCACTGTTTTTGTCCAGGTGCAACACTGGCTCCTGCAGCTGGCCTTGGAGCTGGAATCCAGACTGATCAAGGACAGGAGCCAGGTAAGGAGGGGAGACACGGGTACAGCCTTCTCCCTGCTGGCCTTCAGGAAGCCACACAGCGTGTTTGCACCCTGAGCTGTCTGCAGGAGGCGGAGGGTGGTGTGTGGTGAGGGAGGAAATCTGGCTGCCCTCAGATGTGTGCCTGTGTGCTGAGGTGCCCCAAGCAAAGAGCTGTGCAGAACCCCAGCCCAGGAAGGATGTTTTTGTCCCAGAACGCTGCAGGGCTAAGGATGGTCCGTGTACCATGCTTTCGGATGCAGCGACCTGAAAGCCACCACACCTTCATCCTAGCACACTGCTGCTCCCTTGCAAGCCCTTTGCTGATGCAGCTCTGCCTTTGCTGTGGGCTGTGAGAGGAAGAGATACGCTCACATCTAGATGGCAGAGTGCAGGCCAGGGTGAGATAAATCTGCTAGCTTCATTGCTGTGGGGGGGGCAAGAAATGGTGCAGAGCTGCCTTTGAAGGAAGGCGAGGACTAACTTCTTCCCATCGTGTGTGGCACTGCTGCACAAGCATTTGCTGTCCCTTGTCTCATCCCTTGGAGATCAGGCCAGGCAGGACAAGCTGCCATCTGCCACACAGCATCCCCGGGAGGTGATAGCTGATGGCACAGAGTTGTGGGCACCAAGACCGTCTCCTCGGCTTTCCCTGCTCTTTCCTGCAGGTGTCGCTTGAAACTCGGCTACCTCTTCTTTCTGCAGAACCACCGAGTGGCCAAGCAGCTGATGGTGGTCATCCGCATGCAGGGAGACACCCGGGCGTCGCGCTTTTGCGCTCTGACCCGCTATGATGCCCAGAAGATGTGCAACGATGCCTTTGCCCTCATCCAAAACTGCAACATGGCTGGGGCTCACCAGGCGGCCTGGTGAGTGTGGGAGGAAGGAGTTCATGTCCTCATCAGGGGTTGTTCTGCTGTGGGAGGTGCAGGATGAGCCAGGGACCTGACAGAAAGAAATGAGTGTGTTAGACCAGCTGGTAAGAAAAGTAACCCCCACACATGCACTGTGACCTCTGCTTGTTGGCGCAGGACAGCTGTGAGCTGGGCCTCTTCCTAGCCCCACATCTTGGCCAGACACTTCTGACTTCTCTACTTGGAGCTGGTGATTGCCACTGGCCACGGGGGGTGTCCAGCTGCAACAATGCAGTCCTTGCCCTGCTGGGCTGGAGAAGCTAGCTAGGCCCTGCTCTCCTCCACTGAGGACAAAGGTGGTTTTCTGGGAGGAGGCCACTGGGGCAGGAGGGAAAACTGAGGTGCACAGGTCCCATATTCAACATTACCTCCTTCCTTCCTCCTGCTCTGCAGTGAAGGCTGAGGTGCAGTTAGGGCATGAAAGTACTGTCTGTTGGGTTCCAACGAGGCTGCTGCTCCCTTAATGCCCTCTCACCTTGACTGGGAATCTCCCAGCAGCTCCGGCCTGTGGTGAACTGCAAGTCCAGGCTGGCAGCTGGCTGGCCCTGCTCCAGTGCCCTTTCCTTTGGGAAATGCTGTTCTGGAGTGAGGCTTTCTGCTCAGCCCGACGCAGCCTGCTATGTCTGTGAGACTCTGTTCTGGTGGTAGCAACACTAACATTTTTTTCAGAGGAAACATCTCTCCCACCCCTTGCTAGATACCCAGACTGTGGTTCCCCTGTTCCCTGCCTGTGAACGTGTTATGTTGCTTGAAATCTTACCTCAAAAGACTTCTTGCTTCCCAGGCTGGTATCTGAGCTGATGTTGCTCTGTCCTTTGCAGGTCTCCACCGCTTATATCTGTGCTTCTCTCAGCAAGCAAGTTCTCAGAGCCTGCCACGCTCCTCTCTGCAGGCATCGCCACCTTCTTGACGAGTGACACCCAGACTGATGGCACTGCCACCGACAGCCAAAACTCCACATCTTCTAGGAGGCCCAGGGTCAAGTTCTTCAGGAGCCCAAGCAAAGAGCTGAGGCAGAAGCCAGCTAATGCTATTGAGTCATTCTTCCAAAAGGCGGCAGAAAGGCAGCAGTCAGAAACGGCGGCAGCAACCAGCCTGCCCGCTGCTACCGCTGCAGAGCCACCTGTGCCCAGCTCCCCGGAGCACCGAGAGAGAGGGGGCGTTGGACTTGCCCCTGTGCAGTGTGACCCGGAGTCCCCTGTGAAGCAGAGTGCCAGAGATGGGAGTCCTACTTCTCCTTACAAGAGGCTTCCCTGTGAGAAGTTGCTGTCTGATGCTACGCAAACACCCTCGATTCCATCTAGCTCCAGGACCTTTCTGAAATTAGAGCCAGGTACAGAGGGAAGTGAGCAGAATTTGCCCCCCTCTCCTGAGCTCACCTGGCTACCTCCTGCCTCTCCAGGGGACCAGCAGCGCTGTGAGAAGTGTGGTGAGCTGGTGCTGGTGTGGGAGTTCCCAGAGCACATGGACTACCACTTTGCTCTGGAACTGCAAAGCTCCTTCCTGGATCTTAGCGCTCCTACAGCTCCAGTCGCAGCTCCCAGCCCAAAAGCTGCAGCTTCCAGGTCTCCTGCCAAGGCAAAGAACAAGCCCAAGACTCCAGCAGGATCTAGTGCAAAACGACCCAGAGAAGGTGTGACAAAAACTTTAGATTTTTTCTTTAAGCGCTTACCTCCTTAACTCCTGGCCGTGCTGGGAGTTTTTAGATAATCAGTGTTTTTTAAAGAATCTGTTTTTAAATACAGTTTTAGGTTTTTATACTGCCTGTCAGGTTTTAATGCAGAAGAGTCTAATAAATTGTCTCTTTCTTAAATCTTAAGAGGAACTGGAACTTGTGAATTGCGTATCATGCTGGACTTACCCAGTTTAGCTGGTGGCAGCCAGCCTGCCTCCATTTGCTTGGCACTACCAGAAGCTGCTTGGTACTCTCACCTCCTGCCACAGGTAGTTCCACGGCATCACCGCTCAGTAATTCTGTTCCTACTGTAAAAGCAGGCACTGTCAGCACCGTGGCTTATCCCAGGGAATCTCCAGCCAAGCCCAGGCCTGAACCCCTATCAAGTCACTTAGTGGGAAGCCTTCACCTCATGGCAGCTCTCCTCTGGCTGCACTTACAGGCCTTGCCCTTACTGTATAGCTTACAGATGGTGGCTTAGCCCTGTGGTTCCTTCTTTCCCTCTCCCCTTGAAAGACAATGATTTTTTGCTGCCTGGAGCTCACAGCCTCTTCCATAAATGCTGCTGCCAATAATTTGAACTCGGCTCTTAACACAGGGGGAAGGAACGTGCCACGTCAAGGCAGCACTGGGTGGGGTTTGTAAACACACTTTGCAGGGAGTTTCATCAGCTGCAGGCTTCCCCTCCCTGAGCAGGGGGACAGAGCCTTTCAGGCAGCAGATAATGATGCAAAGTGGAGCTGTATTTGCATGTGCTGTTTCAGTTTCTTTTCTGAACTGCACCAGCCTACTTAGAGCTGTTGAGCTGCTCTCCTTCCAGCAGACAGCCCGTGCTGGGAAGCTGCCATGTTACTGTCAGTGCGGGTCTAACACTTGACAACATAGTTTTGAAATTTCAGGAAGCACAAGAAGCTCATTCTGGTGCGTGCAGCTCTGCTGGTGAGCAGCAGAGGAAGGAATTACAGAGTCACTCCCATTAATGACAGTCATCACATTGCAAAGTGACAAGTTTCCCCAAAGTCCACATGTAAAGAGAAATAGCAACCAGTCTGGCAGGGTTGCCTCACACTCCTGTGACAGCAGCACATCTAATTTCCTAAGTGTCTGGCAGGACCGGACTCTGCAGACACCACTACGACACAAAAACAAGTTGAGAACAGGCAAATCCCTTCAGTGCCACAAGTCACCTCCACAGGGAAGCCTTTCTGCCTCCGCCTGTCCCAAGGGAACAGCCTCTTCTCATGGAGAGAAGGCAGTTGCAAACCCCTTGATAAGGTCAAAGCTATTTTAAAAACAAACCACTGGTTAGATGTGTGCCCTAGAAAGCATCTCTTTAATTAGGCTCTGGGGGAATTTGTGGCTGGAAGGAAGCACTCACCACAGCTTGTTCCACCCATAACAGCTTGAAGTGCTGTGCTCAGAGTGACGTGGCTACCTGTCACCCCAGGCTGCACACCCAGGCTCGCACAGATAAGCGGGGAGGGCACAGTTGTAAACAGCAGTGTGCCTGCATTCCTTCCACACCACAGGACGGTATTTATAGGGCTGAATGCAGGAAGCTTAGGAAGGGGTGAGGGGCAGCCATCTCTAACCCTGACCCAGCTCCAAGGGCAGCAGGGCAAGAGCCCAGCTCCACCTTTGCTCACGGCACAATTCAGCCAGCAAGCTCAATAAAACATCTTTATTCTGTACATTTATATATAGATGCTTGGGGAACAGGGACAACCCCCAGCATTAGAAAAAAATTCAAGACAACAAAACAGCAATAATAAGAGCATGGCACCAAGAACAGTCATGCCACAGATGGCAAGGATGAGGTGAGACCAGCCATCAGCTATTTCAGAAAAGGTCACAGCACCCCATACCCGCTTTGGGGCAGAAAACACGGTGGCTGCTGCAAACAGCTGGAGTCTCCCCCCCTCCCAGCCCCCAGGCAGCTTTCTCTGTGACCCACTAGCACCAAAGGGAAGAGCCTGCTGGCAGCTGGGGCCTGTCGCTTCTTGCAGGAATGGGTGAAATACCATGTCACCATAACACATAGACCACTGCCAGGATGGAAGAAAGAGGGATGCTGCTTGAGCAGTGACCCTGAGCCAGCAGCTCCTGTCTCCCTGCTGGGCTGATGTGGAAGAAGCAGTTTTCATCTGGGTCTGTGCTCACTCACCTCAAGGGACAGGTCACTTGTGTCACTGCTGAGCTGCCTCTGAATCCCTTCATACATACCACCACCGTTCCACCAGCTTCCCCGTGCCTCGGCATGCTCTTCACAGGGTGCAGCCACCACCTCCCCACCTGCTGGAGCCCAGCCCAGGGGACAGTGCTGCTTTGTGACATCCACAGACCAGCACAGGCTGCTCAGCCCCGCAGGCACTGCCTGTGCCAGCAGCCCCGAAGCAGAACTTGCTCACAGGATGGTAGAAAGGCTGTTTGGGTGTCCAAGTGCTATCACAGGCCCTTGCCCTGCTCGTCAGTCAGGGCTGGCAGGCCACCGTGCCATGAAACAGGGCTGGCTGAAGACCTGTTGCTCACAGCTGACACATTTGGTCTAACAGTCAACAATAAAACCAAAAGCGTATCTATGTACAGCTATACAGCCCTGCTGCATCCTCCGGGATACGAGTGGCCTGGAGTAACAGTCACGCAGGGGAGCTGCACGACAGTGAGTGGGAGACGCACACGCTCCACTCTTTGTGCACTCTTTGAGTCCTTGCTGGCACCACCAGCTTTCCTCTGACAACAAACCCCAGTGGCAAGGGGAAAAAAAAGAAGTCTTTTTTGAGGAGAAACAGAAAGAAAACCACGCCACTGTCAAATCACATCTAAACAAGAGAAGTCTCCTGGTGCTGTGTTAGGAACACAGACTGTCCTCCTCACACATTAAGGCAAGCATGTGAGAAGCAAGCCGGGCTGGGCACTGCAATAGCCACACCAGGGAGCCCACTGCAAACCACTGCTGCTGACATGCAGGTGACCCCTGCAGCCAGCCATCCATGGAAACGACCAGCACACAGCAGCACAGGCCCAGGCCCCACTCTGCTCCACAGAATGGCCTCCTGCAAGGAACCGATGCAAGTGCAAACTGCCTTCACGCCGTTATGTCACCAGGCCGTGCACTCGGAGCTGCCACAGCTTCCCGGGAGCCAGAAAGCAGGGTGCTGAAGGAGTGTCTACATGGGAGTGGGGAACATGACACTTGTCCAACAGTAAGACACTCAGATCAGAGTACTGCAAAACCAACACACAAACGGACACACAGCAGATTAAAGCCAACCAAGATTAAAACGGTTAAAAAGTGTCCTCAATGCATTTTGAGAGGTTCCACCAGGCCCCTGCTGTGGGTAGCAGGGCCTCTTCCATCCACTGCCCAGAGGGATGTGCTGCAGGATGACGCAAGAGAGGATTGTTATCAACCCAGTGCTCAGAGAGCAGAAATGGGACCAGATCTTGTGTCAGAGATGCAAAAACATCCCTTCACTGCTAGTCTTCAAGGGTTCTGCTCCTCCCAACCAGTAATTTTCAAACAGTAAACAAAGCCAGAACTTGCCTGCCCAGGTTTGCAGGTGCTTGTGATCTATTCTGAAGAAGGGCAAGGTAACAAAAGCTGCAGGCAATTTGGAGAACATGCTTAACTTGCCCCATGAACGGCTCTGAATCTGAGGAACTCTCCCAGGCTCCATCTCATAGTGCGGAGGAGGGATGCCCACGCCAGAATGGGACAGCAGCAGCTCCAGTCATCACTCAGAGAGCCACGAGAGCTTCCATCCTTCTCCTTGGTTGCTGGTGAGTGGAGATCTCTCTGACCTAGTGATAGTCAGAAGCTCAGCTGTCCAGGCCCCAGGGACTCCTCCAGGCCATTTTCTTTGGTGGTGATGGCTTGGAGGTCAGTGACATGCCCAATGCCTTTGGTGACTCCTTCACGGAAAAGCAGCTTGGCTCCAATCTTCAAGTATTCAGGATGCTTGATGAACCTAAAACGGACAACCGCCTTCTCTCCGGTCCGCAGCTTGTCCTGAAGAGAAAAAGGGGAGCGCTTAGACCCGTCTGCCACACCGATGCATGCAGGAGAGGTGCATGTGGATGTTCAGATGAGGCAAATGAGCCAGCTGCCTCCCTCAGACTGCATGACTTGAGCCCTTCCCACTGTTGTACGCATAAGGGGAGACAGGAAGACAAAAGCTCTGGAGAATAGAGTTCACCTCCCTTCACAGCCTTGCTGTAGTTCATCATGTGGCTTGTTTTGTGAGGAGGGAATTTTTTAACAGGTTGGGAAGAAAACCAACCAAATGGGCAGGATAAAGGGATGGAGTGTGTTCCTAGGAAAGGACAGAGCTACTCAAGACACCAGTAGCCCCTAGCTTTACTAGAAGGCAGGGTGGAATCCCAACAAGCACCTCAGGGAGGTCTATCTTTCTCCCCTTTACTCGCATGCCTACCTTTCCATGGATCTTCTCTACAACAGCAGTCTGTCGCACGTTCCCCACGTGCACCGTCACCTGAAACCCCTTCCGGAAAGTCGTGGCATGGAACAACAGCACAATCTCGGCTTCAAACACTGAGCAGATGGTGGGGTTCATCTCTGGGCTCACCATGACCATGCCCTGCACAACAACCCAAAGTTCACAGTAGTTAGGGCCAGTCTGCTTGCTTCTGAACAGCCCCCCAAAACTACAAACACGTTTCCACTTTGGGACTTGGGCTTGCATCCCATTCTCAGCCCCATACTCATCCTACTTCACAGCCTGGCCATTTCCTCCCCTTCCACCAAGCTTTCTGCAAACATCTCTGCTTCATTCCCACCCTAGCAATAGGGGATCTCCAGGGAAGCCTCCAGTCCTGCTCACTGGACCAGCAAAGAACTGGCAAAAGTAGGACTCACCTTACGCAGCAGGGAGCGGTCGAAGGATCCCAGGGCCAAGGTGGCTGCCTGCCCGGCCCGCAGCACACGGCAGGCTGAGCGGTTGCGCTGGATGCTGCACACTTTCAGCCGGAGGAACTTCCCATCATCAGTGGGACCAACCACCAGGTTCTCTCCTTCTCGGCAGATCCCACTGCCCAGGGCAGAAGAGTGCGACAGAATTAATCAGGACACAAGGAAGAAATTTCACCCTCCAAGATCAACCTGTGCAAACTCCCCAGGGCCAAGGAGGTGAGTGTCCTCGAACTCTTACCTGGGACCAACTAATAGGGATGCAAAGCTGGTGGAAACAGGGATTTCCTACAGCAGGAGCAAAAGCCACACTCTCCCTCCCAAGAATACCAGGTATCCCTCAGGCAGGGGTCATTCTGCCCCCAGTGCTCCACCACACTATATTGTTTCTGCTGGAGAGACTGTTCTGCGTGGATGTGCTGGTAGCCAAACTGCTCTGATCACTCCCAAACACTGAGGGACAGCTGCCTTCTCATGGAGTAGCATGCAATTAACCTCTGCTGGGATTGCAGGACTTACCCTCTACACTTCCTCCCCACCTTGAGGAAGGAGGAAAGCACCACCTTGGGATCATGGCTAACCTCTGCCCACTCTGGGTCCCAGCATGCCTTCCTTCAGCACACTACAGGTCACATTCCTAATCCAGCAGCTTTACAGCAGGCTCTCTGCTTGGCACCACATGACCAATGGTCTGCTCATGGCACCTCCCAACACCCTCTAGGGCTTCACCCTCACTTGGCTCATTCTTCTGGCAGCAGTCAGGGCTGAGCCTTGCACTGCTTCCACCTGCAGCGGGTGACTCTAACCTTGTGGGAACTCCAGCAACCATTCACACCCCCTCTTGTCTGCGTGGCCTCACTTACCTCGACAGAGTTCCTCCCACAACAGTCCCCACCTCTGGCACCGTATAAATTTCATCAACCTGCAGCAAGGCAACAAGAGTAAGCTGCTCAGATGGCTATGAAATAGCACTCCAGAATGGGAACAAGGTGCCCACCCCTTGTATGGAAGGAGGTGACCTCTCTGCTGCTCATCAGACAGCATCTCGGAGCTTTCACTAGCTCCCACTACCTTCCCATTAGAGGAACCTTTGCCTTTTAAGTGGCAACCAGAGAAACAATCTTATCCCCAAGATGGGCATCTCTTGTTTAGGACAGAGCCCAGCCTAACAGGCTTTTTTCAAGGAGTAAGCTCTTTCTTTACTTTACTGTGTCCCAATAGTCCAGGAGTTCACCACATCCCTCCCCATGGTGTCCAGAGCCCCCAGATGTTTGTCACATGTCAGAGAAATGAGTACAGTACCAGAACTGGAAACAAACTACCCTTACACACCTGAAACTCTGTGAGTTGCTGCATTAGTTCTTCCTGCTCTTTACTGTTGGTCAGCGGAGGGAGGATGTTGAGGAAGACTTTTAAGAGATCCAGGTTCTCCCCAGAAACACTGGACAGTGTGAAGATTGGGGTGATGCTGTAAGACACAAACAGACAGGAATAAGCAGAAGGCTGGAGTGCAGCTGCAGAAGGTGGCTGGGATTCTCAATCTACTGAGTCCAGTAAGAGGACAGAGACTAGAGCGATAAATGGCCAGAGCAGGAGGACCCATAGGCTAAGTACAACTCTGCAGTAACCCCTGCCTCCATGGTTGGTCGAGGCACCTGCCAACCCACACTCCTGTCATGGAGAAATAACTCCAGTGCAGCCACAGGCACCTTCTGCTCCCAGAGGCCAGAAAAAGGCCTGGGAGGGAAAAATGCCTTCTTAGAGAACGCAAAGGCAGGAAACTTGAGGAGGAGCCAAGATGTTCAAGATGTGGTCGCCTCCCCTGCCGTCACCCTTCCCCAGCTCCACACAGGAGCCTACTCTGAACTGCCTGCTCCCAGCAAAAGAAATAAATTGTCCCTTACTTGGGAGACTGTGCAAACTGCTGCGCTGCTGTAACAGCATCGTCATCCGAGTTCACAAGCAGGGGGAGCTTGTTGCAGCCTGGCTGCTTCAGGATTCGCTCCAGCTGCTTCACTGTCCGTTCCACTGTGGCTTTCGAACACAAGTCAACTTTGCTGATGACAATGAAGAAGGGGACCTTGAGGGCCATGGCCAAGCCCAAGTGCTCTCGCGTTGTGCCTGCTGCAGGAGACAAGTGAGAGTGTAGGTGCAGTAGCAGTCACCACTGTTGCTTGTTTATGAGACAGCTATGTCTCCTGCCTCTCCCACAGGCTCACTCTAGAGATTTTACCCTAACTGCTTAGTTCATCAGGCAACAAAAAAGCAAAATTACTATTTTAAACAAAACATCAGTCCAGAAAAATAAAAACCACCATGAAGTTTTGTGACTGATCTGTTTGCTTCAGAAAGATGCAGTAGTTTTCATTCTTGGGCTAGAGTTTGCCAGAAAACATCCACAAAAATGTCAAGGAAAGATGTGGGAGAACTCCAGCCACCTTTTTACAAGGCCTCAGGATTCAGCACCCCTAGAATATGTCAAAGTTGGGGGGTTTTTTGGGTTTTTAAATTTTTTTTTTCTGACAAACACAGCCTCAAATTCCAAACAAAGCCTCTCTGTCCAGGGTAGTTTAATGCAGTCTACAGCTAGCCCCTCCCAGGCACTCCTATGCACTGGCTTACAAGAAATCAGTAAAGGCTTCCAGACCAATATTTTTTTCTGCCAACCATTCCCAGCTAACAGGGACCCACTTCCCCCCATTCTCCATTTCTCTGCACACACTGCTGTCAATCCCTGCAGGAAGGGCAACACTCACCAATGCCAGTGTTGGCACTAACCACCAGCATAGCAAAGTCTGGGCAGTAGCTGGTGAGGCCAAAGATGGTTGTTTTCAGATACTTGTGGTGGCCAGCCAGGTCAATGAAAGTGATCATTTTTGAAGAACTCTCACAGATCTCTTCTGCTGTTCGGGAGTCACTGTAATTTACCACCTGAGGTACATAAGGACTTGGTGAGAGAAGGAGCCCCAGCAGGCAAGTGAAGAAAACACAGCTCTTACCCATCCACTTTGACCTCAGAAGCAGTGAGGAGAGATCATTCACCATGGGTGCAATAAACAATGTCTGTTGCAAATGGACAAGTAGCACCTGGGTTCAGCTAGAGGGACACAGAGCTGTGCCACCTCTCTTTCCTCACGTCCCACTCACAGCTGTAACAGGAGGGTAGTCTTATTCTCCTCCCACTTTCTGATTCAGCAGCCAACTCTCTCACCTCTCCTTTGCTGTTGAAGCCAAGGATCTCAAAGCTGATGCTCGACGTTCTTCCTGACTGGATTTCATGGAGATGCCGGAAGAGGTTGAGGCGTGCTCTGCCCCGCCCGTTGTCCAGCTCTCCTTGCGTTAGGACACCCAACAGGGTTGACTTCCCTGAGTCCACGTTCCCCAGCACAGCTACTCGCAGGTCTAAGAACTACAGGAAGAAGAACAGAAAAGTCATGAGACTTAACCGCTGCTCTGCTGGAATGTGCATGAACACTACATGGCAGCAGAGATGTGCCTCAAAGAGCTTCCCTCCATGACAGACACTGTGCGGTGTAACCTTGCTCAGACTCTGCCCCTGCCTCCAACAAACCACTGCCCAAGGGTTGTGATGCACTCTCTAGAGTTGTGATGTGAGACATCAGGCTTTGGTAGCACAAAAAACCCCCATTTGCTGCAGCAGGAACTCTCAATCCTTCCTTGTTTGCACACTGGCCTGCATCAGAACGGTTGCCGTAGAAGTGAAATAGTTTCTCAGCTCTGATCCAGCCAATCTCCCCTACTGGTATCTGCCTCAACCACAGTCTTGGAGATTACCATCAAGCCTCCCTCTGGCATCTCTTAAAGCATCTGCTATGGGCTAATCCATGACAAAGTGCCCCTAGGGTTTGGGCTCCCATCCCAAAAGGAAGCTGCTTGTACGAAGGCTCTAAGTCTCCAGGAGAGGACGACTAAGACACAGGTCCCTACCTGCTGGTTGTCAGGCACCTTTCGGACAAGCACCTCCGTTATCTTCCTTGGAACGTCGCTGTCGTAATCAACCTCCCTCTCCCGCAGCACCGTAATGTCAGCCCCAACCCTGCCACAAACACAAAAGGAAGGAGTGAGACACACTTGTACTCGGCAGCTCTCGCACCTCTAGAATCACAGCTCGCAGTGAATGGGAGGAAAGTGGGGGATAGCAGGGAAGGAACCTCAAGCTTCCAGCCAAAAGCCCTATAACTGCCTTAGTATTTCCAGAGTCTCACGATAAGGGAATTTCAGTCATACAGGGGCTTTGTAAAATGGAGCCACCTGCTCCTCAGGGGACTCCTGGGGCCAAGCCTCTCTACTGGAGGCTGTTTACGCCTGCGGGTCCTGCAGATGAAAGGGAACACATACTTCTCTGCCATACGGCGCAGTGTCTTGAGCGAGGCACGCATCTCCTCCTCCGAGAGGCCCACCAGCAGCCCGTTGTCCTCCACGCCGATCTGATAGACGGCCTCACCTCGGCCTTCCTGCAGCCGCCACTTCATCTGCGTCACCAGGTGCTCAAAGCGATATTGCGAGGGATTCACTAGTTTTAGCTGCGTAACGGAGCGGGTGGTTACAGTCACACTTTGGATGCAGAGGGAATCTCATTGCCCAAGACAGCAGCTCCCTTACCCAACACCATTAAGCAATGCCCCCAACTCTGACCCACCTCTAGAAAACACAGCCCATGTTAGTGTCTGTGCAGAAGCCATAGGACAGGTGAGAAGGGGTTTCTCAAAGGTACATACATATCTTAGCAGAACTTTCCTGCATCTTGCCCAAGGGATCTGTACCCTGCCTACTGCGGGGGTAAAGACAGCACTGTGGGACCTATCTGTGACACAGGAGCCAAGTAAGTGCAAATGGCAGAACAGCCACAAGAAAGTGACAAATTATTGTCAGGGATACCTGCAGCTCTCTCTAAAAAGGAAGACTTCAGGAAAAACACAGTGGGTCCTAAAAGTTTCCAAAAAATGAGCATCAAGATCAAATTCTTCCAGCTCAGCATACTGAGTATTATTACTAGGCACGGACACAGAAGATGACTGATAGTTCCTTAGTACAGCATCCACTTTTCTGTCCCTTCCTTGGACATGTTCCAAATATGCTGTCTTTGGTGAAGTTACTCACTGCAAAATAACCCTCTGGGAGGAAGAACTCCTTCTGCAACCTCAAAAGGCTCACCTTGTACTCGATGTTCCCATCTTCTGCCTGGTCAGAGAATGAAACAAGACAGAAAGGTTAGCTGCTATGCCAGCAAGGGCTGCTATAGGCATCAGCTGTCCAGGTACTCTGCAGCTTGTGCTGACGGTTTCAGAGAGAGGGAAAACAGCAGAAATATACTGTTTTAGGTCACAGCCTCTTCTGCCATTCATTCCTACACTCAACTGGAACTTACTTTGGGTTTGTTTCTGCTGTTTACATCCCACATGATGAAAACCAGAGGATAAAACTACAGAGTGACACAGGGGGCAATACTGCCTCATTTTTTTTTTTTTTTTTTTACTGACAGTAAAGGATAGGGCCAGTCTAACAGTCACAGAGAGAGTTCCAGTTTCAAAAAGACACAGGCCAGCACCCCCTCACCCATCCATCACCCACACTGCCACCCACAGCTCCCACCTCCACCACATCCAGCAGCTTCCATCCATCCAATGTGCACAGAAACAGGGGACTGGGAACAAAAGTCGCTGCCTCCTCTCCTGCACACTGATACCCTCCCTCACTCAATTATTTTTTCATTGCCTGCTTCTCATATCCTTGCATACCTTACAAGAGAGAAGGACTACAGACATAAGGAAGCAAGCTACTGACTTCTTTGCAGTACAGCAAGCTGGTCACTGTCCTGGCAGTTCTGGAGAACCAGACCCAATTGTGACTGTGTGCAACATGCTCAGAACCTTCCCAGGAAGGGCTGGAACCAGAAGGGATTGTCACAAACTAAACCAGAAAGGCCCGGGTACTCATCACGCCCACTCCAACTACAACAGGTTCCAGCTTCTGAAGAGAATGCACAGCCAATACTGAAGTAACTTTGCCACTGATTTGGTCTAAGGACCACTGAGAAAGGGCTGGACCCTGCAGGAAGCCAAATACTCTGGCAGATTAAACTGAGCTGCAAACGCTAAGCACTTCCTTCTCCTCTAGACACTGATTTGCATGTCAGGAGAGGCAACAGCCCTCTCCTTGCCTTCCAGCTCAGCTCCTAACCACAGTGGTGCTTATGGTGGAAAAAGGCCAACAGAGGGAAGTTCTGAACTGTCAGCTCAGCTCTCAGGCTGCACAGCTATGCACTGAGAAAAGCACAGTTGTGGAAGGTTTTCCTCTCTTACCATCTACCAGCTTTCCAGCTCTAAGGAAAACACTGTGTTCGCATACTGCACCGTCCTTTAAGTAAGGGAGTGGGTCTTTTTCAAGGCAGCTGAGACTAGAAAAGCAACAAGCCTAGACTTGCTGGGCCACATACAGCACAGGGTGGCCAGGGACAGGAATCTGTGCTGAAACCACAGGGGGCTGTCCAGCCTCCAGCTGAAAGGAATAAAAACTAAACTGCAGCTGCAGGGGACAATCCTGACCGTGGAGAAGATCTAACAGTAGCGAAGTGCTGTTTTCTTTCTTGCCAAGAGTCATAGCCCTGCTTTGAGGAGGAACTGCTCCCTCACAGCGCAGGCTCTTATATATTTTACAGAAAGCTCACTGAGTGGGGCCAAGCAATTGACTCTGGGGCAATGCAATGCTCCCCACAGTGGCAGTCTTTTATTAATGCGGCACCAACTGCTTGAACAAACACACACACTTACTACCAAGGCCAAAAACCCTGCCACAAGAGGTAAGTGCCTCACGCTCTGTCAGTACTGTCTGCATCTCCATGTAAGAAGGCATTTGCCAAATTAGCTGGAAAGGGAGTCACTAGAACCTCCTGAGCCATGTCTATGAGTTTGGCACCTGGAAAGGGACTTACACGCACCGGATCAGCTCTCGGGGAGAGATGTGAACAGGATGCTCGGGACTACGAGTTGAGCAAAGCTTTATTTCCGAAGCTACTGAGTTCCCAGGCAGCAAGACACTACTAAGGGACAGGGTTTGGCGGACCGTGCAGGGAGCCCGCTGGCACTCGGGGCACAGG